ACAACACCCCCACCCCCTCGCACCTCCTCACCTTTCCCACCTCATTAGCCCCACTCATCTCAACTCTATCTTCGTTGTGTTTATCTAAAGTATATATAAATATTCTTGGATTAATATTTTTTGTTTACTCATCACAAATACAGAAAATAACTAAGAAAAATCTTATAGTTTCTAGGAAAATACCTAATCCATCAATCGAGAGCCCGTTTAACTTTAACCCATCCAAATTTCATCCAACTCGATCATTTGACACCTTTAATCACAAGCTACATAGGATTTTGTTAACTTTCTAGCAACTCTTTAAGTCTCTTCAAATTTACAATGGTGCCAATTGTCATTTACAAATTCCCTACATTGCAGGCCTTTTGTTGTTTTCATTTTCAGGCCCATGGGCTTGAAAGACAAGATCAATTAGGCCTTTTTCTTGTTTTCATTTTTAGGCCCATGGGCTTAAAAGATAAGACCAATTGTGTATTCCAGAGTAGAGATATTGGGCTGGACTTATATAACACTACAAAAATGTCTTTTAGCGAAAATTCGATAAGTATAGTATGATAATTTAATTAATCTGCGATGAATGTTACCCAACACATCATCGTAGATTGACACTATCAAATACGTACATGATGGGAGAAAATGAAAAGAAAAAAAAAAGACGATTCTCATTATATTTAATCTCCGTGAAATATATTTTTAATATAACTGAGAAAAAAAATATTTTTGTGGCCCATGCAGGTCTCGAACCTGCGACCTTCGCGTTATTAGCACGACGCTCTAACCAACTGAGCTAATGGGCCATTTGTTGTTAAATGTCCATGTTATCATATAAATATGTATTTCGTTGTTTACTAGGCTTTGTTTAGAATATTGTTTGGACAAGAGAATAAATGAAGGGTCCTACATGAAAAAAAATATTCGATCCGTCCATTTTTATTTGTCATGTTGCATTTTTTGAAAGTCAATTTGACTAATTTTTAATGTTAAATTAGATTACATTAATTCGATGTTTTAAACAAAAACTTTAGATATTCAAAAACTATATAAAAAGTACTATAAATTGCAATTTTTCGCATATCAATATGATGAAAAAAAGTATCGTAAAATGTTAGTCAAAGTTCTTATAATTTGACTCTACAAAAGAAAACAATGACAATTAAAAGTGGACGGAGGTAATATGACATTGATAGGAAAAGAATAATAATGAAGGGTCCAAATCACACCAATATTTTAAATTCCAATATTTTTATATATTTGGAAATGTTAAGAAAAAGAGTGGCATTGTGTATTTATTACTATGAAAAAGAGTGGCATTGATAATAAGTTTATTTTCATGTCTTATAAAACCAATTAACATAAAGAAAAATGTTTTTTTTTTCTTTATATTTTTTCTTTATCTTTTCTCTCTTGTCGATATGGGCTAAGGATAAGGATATCAAGTAACATCATGGGACCTATGATGTGATAATCTTAAAAATATATAACAATAATAAAAAATATACCCTCTCCATTTCATTTATTTTTCCTATTTTTTTATTACATTTTAAAAAAAAAACTTTTTTGATAAACAAATTAAAACAAAATAAAATAAAATATAATGATTTGTTTTTTAAAAAAACACTCTATTATATTCAAGAATTTCCTCAGCCTTTTGACTAATATTTTAAAATATATTTCATTATATTACCATTAAAAAAGTTACAACTTATAGTTTTATTCATTATCTTTTAATAGTTAAATTAAAATTGACTATCAAAGATAAAAACACTTATTTTAAAACAGAATGAATATATTAAAGAATATCACGCAATTTTAAAATTATTATACGTCAAGATAAGACACAAGATCTTGGGAGAATTAAATAATGTACTCATAAGACCAAAATATTATCAAGTCAATAATATTTATCCAAATTTATTATTATTCAATATAAATATCTAAGATATTAAATGGTGGGGTCATTATAACAAACATTAATTCCTTTGCATTTATCATAAGAAAGTTGCGTGTATGTCTTTTTTTCTTTTTCTCTGACCGTTATTTAGTTTTCACTTAAGTTTGATTAATTCTTATTCGAATAGAAAAAAAAATTAGTTTTGAAATATAAATCATTTTTCATTAAAATGCTTTCATATCAAGAATTTAGACTCTAGATTATAGAAAAATACTTACCACTCTATTATACTTTTTAACGAAAGCTAATTTATGTATCATTAAATTAATAATAGTGTGTGGGACACCCAAGATTTAAAGGATATTTATAACTTAACTTTTAATAATTGGGACCAAAATTAACCTATGTATCCCCACCTTAAATCCCTCGACTATATAGGCAACATCATTTTCCTAAAAAAGTCCAATGAGAATGTTGTGAGATAAGCACCCACCACATTTGAGTTATATAACAAAAAGAACATTTGTAATGGGTTTTTGAAATTGTCATTCGAGTCGAGTCAAAAGTAATCGTTATTAAATAAATTGTGTTGAGTAAAAAATAATTGTTATTAAACAAGCTAAATCGAGCTAAAAATAATCGTGTTATTAAACAAGATGTTTCGAACAAAAAATAATCGTTATCAAACAAGTTGGGTCGAGCAAACAATATATAATCATTATTAAACAAGTTGTATCAAGCGAGGAATCATCGTCATTAAACAAACTGAGTCGAGCCAAAAGTGATCGTTATTAAATCATGTCGAGTCGTGCCAAAAATAATCGTTATGAAATAAGTTGAATCGAGTAAAACATAATTGTTATTAAACAAATCTATTCGAATAAAAAATAATTGTTGTTAAACAAGGTGAATCAAGCAAAAAGTAATCGTTGTTAACAAGTTGTTTCGTGGCAAAACTAATTGTTATTAAACAAACTGAGTCGAGCCTACAATATTTGTTATTTAAAAAAGTTGAATCAAGCAAAAACAATTGTTACTAAATAAACTGAACCGAGCCAAAAGTAATCATTATGATACAAGATGAATCAAGCAAAAAATAATCGTTATTAAACTAATCGAGTCGAGCAAAAAATAACCGTTACGAAATAAGCTGAATCGAGCCAAAAAAATAATCGTTATTAAATAAGTTGAGTCGAGCCCATAATAATCGTTATCAAACAAGCCGTATCAAGCACAATAAACATTATTAAAAATCGAGTTGAACCAAAAATAATCGAATGAAACAAGCATAACTTTTCACCGATTAGAAAAGTCCTCGAGTCGAGCCAAAAATAACCGAATGAAACAAGCATAACTTATCACCGATTAGAAAAGTCCTTTTTTATACATCCAAAAGATATTTACACAGAATATCTATGTGATGACTTACAAAATTACTTACGTAAGTCAAAAGTGAGAGTTTGACGGCATCCTTCGAGAAAATACACTTAAATACTTACATTACCAATTAACAAGTATATATTTTTCCTTCTTAATAAAAAGTAATTCACGTAACTAATCAAGTAATGAATATCTATTCTTATGGATCTGAACTTTTGATTAAGAAAACGTCTAATTAAGAAAGAAACAGTCGTGTTCCGCTATCCACAACTAACAAAAGTATATTCTTTAGTACCAAATACAATTATTTTTTTCTTATGTTTTTTTTCCTCAACAATTTACAATATTTAATTTTAATTGTTAAAATTATGTCCCAATTATTCCACCAATAGACCATCTCTCAAAGAACCTCAATTGAACTCTATGAATTTGTTACAAATCGGTTCGGTGTGACAATAATAAAGACAACAAAACTGGCGTTTTGCCTTAAAATCCAATTCTGTAATAAGTTCTTGCAATTAACGTTGCTTTTCTGTGTTCTTTTCTTGTTCAAACTTCCAAAGACTCCACCTTTTTTGCTTTTTCTTCAACACCCACCATTTTTTTTCTTGAAAATCTGCTTTATCTTTGACACCCACATCTTATTTTTATCAATTTCGATGTGGGGTTTTCTTGATTGGTGAAAAAGATTGGAACTTGGGTGTTTTTTTTTTTTGGGTGAAGTGATGGGTGGAAGGAAAATTTTGAAGTCTTTACAAGCAGTGGTAGCTCATGGATTGCTGTTTTGTTTCACTCTGCTTCTTGTTCTCAAGCTTGATCGAGCCCTTCATTATTCTTGGTGGTTTGTGTTTCTTTACTTTCATTTTGGGATTTTTTTTTCCAGAATTTGTGATTTTTTGGGTTTTTTTTTGTATCTGATTGAGGAAGTTTTTAACAGTTAATGAGCATATATGGTAACAATATGTGGATAAAGTGAAGGTCTTTTCTGTTTGAATTTCTCAAAATGACATCTTTGTTGAGATTAGTCTTCTTAGTTAGTACTTTGTACCTATGATGTTCTAGTTTGTAACTTGGAAGCATGATTGGAAATTAAAACTGGAATGCTGCCTTTTTGGTCATTGTTGAGCTTGAAAAAGGTGGAAACTTTAAGATTTTGGATAATGTGGTTACCCTTAAATTGTTAATAGGATTGTTGTTGAGCTTGAAAAAGGTGGAAACTTTAGGAATTTGGATAATGTGCTTACCATAAAATTGTTAGTCACTCATGTATTAAGAGGTGTATTACCATCTAGACATTTGTGAAAATTGTTTAGTTTTTTGGGGAATTCCGAGTGTTCTGTTAGACGATGTAAAAACAGCATGAGTGAGTGGAAGATTGGTTCAAGTCTTACTGACAAATTGGCTCCTTGCTCGTTGGAGTTCATTCTTTACTATATGTAGAGCCTGTTTGAATTTGTGAAGGTAGATTTAACACATAAGAATATCTTTGCTAAGAAAATTGATGAAAAACTTTAGGGACAAAAAGAAGGATTCACATGATATTCATTGACTTGGAAAAATAATATGTAAGTTTCAAGAGAATCTTATTGGTGGGTACTTGAATGATAAAATAAATGAAGATGCAGCACATAAAATTAAAACAGGATGGCTGAAATGGAGGAGTATTCCACTGCAGGGTGTCTTTTCTTTGGTGTGTATTACTATCTGTTTCTGCATTTGTTATAGAATTGTTAATAGGGTTGTTGTTGAGCTTGAAAAAGGTGGAAACTTTATGATTTTTGATGATGTGTGTACCCTAAAATAGTTAATTGGATTGTTGTTGAGCTTGAAAAAGGTGGAAACTTTAGGAATTTGGATAATGTGCTTACCATAAAATTGTTAGTCACTCATGTATTAAGAGGTGTATTACCATCTAGACATTTGTGAAAATTGTTTAGTTTTTTGGGGAATTCCGAGTGTTCTGTTAGACGATGTAAAAACAGCATGAGTGAGTGGAAGATTGGTTCAAGTCTTACTGACAAATTGGCTCCTTGCTCGTTGGAGTTCATTCTTTACTATATGTAGAGCCTGTTTGAATTTGTGAAGGTAGATTTAACACATAAGAATATCTTTGCTAAGAAAATTGATGAAAAACTTTAGGGACAAAAAGAAGGATTCACATGATATTCATTGACTTGGAAAAATAATATGTAAGTTTCAAGAGAATCTTATTGGTGGGTACTTGAATGATAAAATAAATGAAGATGCAGCACATAAAATTAAAACAGGATGGCTGAAATGGAGGAGTATTCCACTGCAGGGTGTCTTTTCTTTGGTGTGTATTACTATCTGTTTCTGCATTTGTTTTGTATCTTGCTATTTTGCTGGTTATTTTCTTACAATCTTGCATCGGATACCTTTCTTTTGAGCCGAGGTTCTACCTCACAAAGGTAGGGTAAAGGTTTGTGTACATCCTACCCTCCCCAGACTCCACTTGTGTTATTACACTGGGTATGTTGGTGGTGAAAGTAAGGTTGTCTTTCTTCCAATTTTGTGTCTTGCCCCTTCTGGTATAAGTATTCTAATTGTTGGAAGTGAAATATGCCAGAGCATGCACATGTGTGTGTATTGAGAGAAAGAAAAAGGTATCCAAGAAATATAAGCACTGGTTAGTGGTTACTAAAGCCTTTGTACTCATGTTTTCTGCATTATAATTATACCATTTGCAGTCTACAGGGACTTGAGTTTCTAAGTATTGCCGTATATTTCTTTTCTCCTTTTATTTTACAAGATAATTGAGAACATTGAAACCCCTACTCTCTGAAACAGTATGATTTGTGATTACAGTTGGTTTTCACAATTGGTTCATTTTTGCAGGGTTGTTTTCGTTCCACTTTGGTTGTTTCATGTGGTTGTAGCAAGGGGTAGATTCTCATTACCTGCTCCATCAATGCCTCATGATCGACATGTATGACACATTAACATTTCTGATTTTAGATTCAATGTTTCATGTACCAGTCATTGCTGTTTGTATATTTTCAAAAAGCTATATAGTGACATAAGCACATATTCCTTCATGAACAGTGGGCACCATTTCATGCTGTCATGGCGACACCGCTGCTTGTTGCTTTTGAACTACTTCTTTGTATTCATCTCGACAGCACCTATGGTAAACAAGAAATTTCCTTAGAACATCATTATCTGATGCATTTATAACCAACTGCTTACTGGCTTCTTGCTGATTCGTAATGTTGTTCACTCACGTCTAGTTACTAGAGGCAGTTTCACTAGACTTGCAACTCTACCTTAACCTTTTGTGTTATGACCTTTAAGCTATTGCTTACCTTTCAGTGCCTTGATTGTGCAAAATCTTAATTTCATCTGTTTAAATCTTGTATCATTTCTTTCTCTCTTTAAATTTGATATGCAATGCTAGTTCATATAAGCAAAGCCACTTATTTGTGAACTGTGGATAATGCAGCTGTAAGTTTGAAGATTGTGTTCTTTCCCCTGCTTGCACTTGAAATTGCTATCTTGGTTGATAATGTTAGGTAAGATACTTTTCCTGCCAAGAAATGCTGAACTTTTAAGCCATCTGGTGGCAGTTGAAATATTTTTGGGGAGGCATAATACATAAACACACACTCAAACTTGGCCTCAGTTGACAAGTAAGTCCTCCAACTTTGAGGAGTGCACATCTAGACACCTCAACTTGGTCTCAACTGGCAACAAAACACTCCAACTTGTCCCCAGTGTGTCTCATAGACACCAGACGCTGATGTGGCACATAAACTTTGGAGGTGTCTAGATGACCATTCTTTAAGTTGGAATGTGCAACTGATATAGTGGAGAAGAGTTGAGGTTTCTAGATGTGCATACTCAAAGTTGGAGTGTTTATTTGCCATTTGAGGCCAAGTTTGAGTATCTGTGTTTATGTATTATGCCTTTTTGGAATAAAGAGATATGAGATAAGATGTCCAAACATATATTTTTTGCAGTACTTCAAAGCATGCAAATTATTGGTCTTGGTTTTGGATGTTTATCTAATTCCTGTTAAACTTCTCCCCATGCTCAGAATGTGCAGGGCGCTGATGCCTGGAGATGAAGAAAGCATGAGTGATGAGGCTATATGGGAGACCCTTCCTGTAAGTAAAGATCTCCCATTCATTTTAAGAAACCACAGTTAGCAATCATGTCATTCCTGTTGCTCATCTACTAGGAAGAATCTAATATTAATAGCCTATTATACCTTTTAGATTGACGAACTTAAGAACCTTATTTCTTCACTTGCATAAATCTGTAAACAAAAGAGCGTAGATATTATTTTACGGGGTTTCAAAGGAAGTGCACTCTTAAATTCTGGAACTTTTGTGAGGTTGACTACTCTCTCCTCACCAGTGAAAATAAGGTTCAAAAATAGTTTATGTTGAGGAGTTACATATCAGGAATAAACAGTTCGATTGCAACTTTTAACCAGCTTTTTAGATACTTTTTTCAGCTATATGCAGTCTGGTGTTATGTGCCTTAAATTCATATGCTTTCTGTTGTACCCTATTGATGTGAAAGCTATTTGAAACCGTGATTGATTGGTACATGCAGTTTGCGCTAATATGTGCACATTGGTAGTTTCTAAAAGTCATCTTGTCATTATGTCTCAGCACTTCTGGGTTGCAATCGCTATGGTCTTCTTCATAGCAGCTACAGCATTTACACTTTTGAAGATTTGTGGTAATTATTTGACTCTCTTTCTGTACTGGTCATTCAATTCGTGTGGCTAAATGCTCCATTTGCTTCTTCTCATTTTATTTTATATCTGTACGTTCTTATCAGTTTATATCTGTAGCAACTTCAAAATAATAAACATTTTTGGAAATGGCAAGCAAAAGAAAGATTATGCTTTTACTAAGAGATCAAGAATTTGGTCTACTGGTGCAAATTATGTCAATGTTTATTCTTCTAGAGTTGCAGACCTGTTAGTTTATTAAAGCCTCAAGTCATCCATCAAGTAACCAGTACGAGGGTACTTTTTTCCCTGTTTGTATCTATAGGTGTTTCTCTATTGAGAAATAAATCCTAGCAGTTTAAAGCGATAAATTAACTCAATTTGTTCTCCAATTAAGGATCAGTATCTGCTTACCGTTGTTTTTAATTGCTCGATAGGTGGCCATAACATGGAAATTCTACAGCTGTATCATAATTTAGCTATAGCATTTTGACAGTGGCTTCTTGCAGTGTAGGAGTTAAATCATTATTTCCCTATTTCTGCTTTATTTAAAGAACAAAAAATTGCAAATATTTTCTTTGTGGTAATACTGTTAGAAACATAGTGATCCATAGACCATACATTAACCTGGCCTTATTGGTTTTTCTACCTTATCATTCATTCATCAAATTATGGTTTCATGTTCGTTTGCTGTGAATTGCAGGAGATGTTGCTGCTCTTGGGTGGTGGGATTTATTCATTAACTACGGGTACAAAAAAGTTCCCATTTATCCTGCATGATTGGCGATTGTGCTTAATTGCTTGCTAAACCTGTATGATACTTGGCATTCAGTGTCGCAGAATGCTTTGCCTTTCTTATCTGCACGAAATGGTACAACCCTGCAATCCACAGACAGTCGAGTCTACGTACACCCAGCTCTTCTATAACAAGCATGCGATCTCTTAACTGGAACAGTGGATTTCTTGCATCTGTGGATGAAGATGATCAGCATAGTGGAATATGCAGTTTGCAGGATATTGGTGGTCATGTGATGAAAATTCCTCTTGTTTGTTTCCAGCTATTGCTTTTTATGCGCTTAGCGGTATGGACACTCTAAGAACTAAGAAGTTTTTCTTTCAATATTCCAATTAGTTAAGATGTGCAACTAACACATTTTGATTACAGGGGACCCCACCAAGTGCTAAATTTATCCCAATTCCTGTTCTGTTTATTCCTCTTTTCCTACTTCAAGGAGCTGGTCTTTTATTCTCTGTTTATAGACTTGTGGAGACAATTATTCTTCTGGTTGATGGTGAAGGTGGTGTTAGAAGCTATTTTAGGGTGTCTTCTGTTATTCGTGATTCTTTCAGTTGCATGCGTCACGGGTCAAGGTAATGATAGCAAGGTGAAACTGTACAATTTCTGATCCTTCCCAGCATTGTTTATGTTTTTACTCATTCCACTTGCTTGTCTCTTTGTGTTGATCTTATTGATACAGGTTGTTAGGTTGGTGGTCAATTGATGAAGAAAGCCGAGAGGAACAAGCTCGTCTATATTATCCAGGGACATCTGGGTCAGTGTCTGTCAATACTTGCAGTTTTTGCATTTCTGTCCAGTACCTTGAGGGTCATCTGGTTCACGTGTTTTAGATGGCCTTTTTTTGTGTGTGGGGTGTGTGTGTGTGTTTGGGGGGGTGGGGTGGCGTCTTTGTAGAAGCTTTAGTGCAAATTTACTGCTACTACAACAATGTACACAACATAGTTGGGGAGGGTAGCGTGTAGGCAAACCTCACCCCTACCTTGTCAGGTAGAGTGGCTGTTTCCAATAGACCCTCGGCTCAAAGAAAGCAAAAACACAACATTTATGAAGACATAAGCAGTAACAATAGCAGGTTGATAAGAAACTAGAAGCATACGAGAGAACAAGTAGTAGTAGAGAACTAAGAGGGAGAAATACAGAAATAGTATAATAATACCAATACTACTAGCTGGAGAGACCAGACACGAAACTATTTACTACTGGCCTTCTACCCGAATCCTCGACCTCTACACCCTCCTAACCCAGATTCTTGGAACAAGGAATGTTTATCTTGGCTAAACAGTCGCATATCAAACAAGAGCTTGATGAATGAAAATTACTGATGAACAAAAAATAATCTTAACCTTTCAAAAGCAATTAGATATTTCTATGGAAAATGGATTGAAATTCATGGGAAAGTATAAATACTGTAAAAGCAGGACTATTAGTGAATAGAAAGATTCTACAAATTACTTATTGCTTATACGACTTTTGTTTACTCGAAGTTGTACATGCAGTGTTTACTTAAACTTCCACTGATTTATCTTCACGGCATCTTCTGATTGTTATTTTAGGTACAATACTTTCTCACCTGATACTGTAAAGCAAATGCCTAGAGCGAAGCTTGCTGAAGAGGTCGTGTCTTTTTTTCTTATTGCCTCTTTCTTCGTTTCCTTTAGTGCTCTCACTGAGATGGTTAGCTTGACTGTTACTATCTCAGATATGGAGACTACAAGCAGCACTTTGTGAGCAATCAGATATCACACAATCAAAACAGGAAAAGTTCGAAAGACTTCAAAATGTAAGATTACATCAAAATACTGTTAATATCTAATTGATGCATTATATCATCACGAGAATATCTAGCGTGCGTTTAACAAATATGTGATGTGTTTGAAACAAGGAATTAACTTGTATTACCTTAGTATTTGTAAATATTGTTTCTCGTCCTTGCTAATTCTTCATGAGTGGAATTTATTGTGTAATCGGTGCTGGTATCTACTGAGCCACTTACATGTGGATTCTTTTGTCAGGAAAAAATTCTATGTAGAATTTGCTTCGAGGAACATATAAATATTCTCCTCCTTCCTTGTAGGCATCACATCCTCTGCAGGTATAACCTAGACTTCATGCCACTCGTTTTCTGCAGTCGTATTTACATTCTTTCTATGATTTACAATATCCGATAAATATGCTGTTTAAAACAGTTTCCATATTTTGAAGGCATGTCTTTCCTTGCAAGCTAGATTCGAAAGAAAAATAACGTTTCATTTCCTTTCTTGCATTTCTAATCTGATTATTGTAACTGATCATTCCTTTTCAGTACCTGTTGTGACAAGTGCAAGAGGTGTCCCATCTGCCGTATGTTTATAGAAGAACGTTTACTTGTAAATGATGTGTAGTTACTATAGTTTCCCCCGAGCTTTTCCTTTGATCAGACGAACATGTTAGATGGTGAAATGCGGTTTTATTGAGTCATGTCACCACAAGTACATTGTTTTATCTGATTTCATATGTGTATTCGTCTGAATCGAGTTGTGTCTGTCTTGTGAACTGTCTATATTATCCACAAGATTATTGTAATTCTGGCAATAGATTATGTAAAGCAATTGTTATATCAGTTCTGTGCATATTTTCTCTGATCTATCAAATGTATGATGGCATTTGACATTTTTACCATTTGTAATCTGAAGTTGGAAAATATGCACAGAATATTTGGTATGAAGGAAAATGTATTCCTTCATACCATTTTACAGTATCGTTAGCTCATACAACTCCTCGTTCAATTCTTTGAATTCATAGGATCTTATAAATCGTTCGAGGATCCCCCCCC